TACTACAATTTATTGTCCAAAATTATTGATTAATGTCATCAACAATGATCGAGACAAGTTGGTGTTTACTCCTGATTTGTAACTCCCTGCTGCCAGTGGTGTCAGAATTACTCGGACGGAAACTGATATGTTATCGTTCTCTTCAATGTTCATTTGTGATGAAAGTCTAATTCATGTATAATCATTCAAATTAATAGTCTTATTCGAAAGTTTATTATATGTGAGGTTTTTCTAATGAAAAGATGATTGATGATGCATTAATTCCTGTCGATTGTCCTGTATTCATATGTAATAAAAGTGCATTAGTCGTCATTGAGAAAGTTTGATCCGTTTGATGATTTATATTTGTTGCCTGAACAAATGAGTCATTTGAATAAATTAAAAATTCATCATCTACTTACTGTCTGTTGTTGAGAGTATAAGTTACGATTTTTTTCAACAGTTGCCCATGAAAAATCATTGCCATCCGCGAAAAGATCTTTACAAATAAGACAAAAATAATGATGAATGTGAAAAAAAGGAAAAGAAACTTTACTGAGATTTGACCATGGTGATTCAAGATCAGTTTCATAATCAATTGGAAATGTATTTGCACGAATTCGATCAAGATCAAGAACAATTCCACGTCCTTGTGATACTACATTAATTGCCTAGAATAATTCAAATAAATTGATGAAACATGATTTTTCATTTATACAAAACTCACTGTGAATGTATTGCTCGTACATCGAAGAATTGAATCAGCAGCTGTTTGGATTTTTTCATAAGTGGTTGTTGGAGCAATACTGATTAGATTACTGGCCAATTGATAACATCGTGTCGATGCCAAGAGCTACAGAATATTGAATTAAATATGTGAAAAAAAAATTAACTTTTCATGCGGTTGTATCTCGTGTTAATTGAGATGTGACCTCAGTTAGTTGAACTAGCAGTGATCCTTGTAGAATAATATTTTCAATAGTTGTTATCATGAGATTACTGACGAAATTCATCAGATAATCTCGAACTTCAGCAAGAGTATTCCATTGTTGATTATATTCGAGCCAAATGGATGTATTGATTGCAGAAGATGATTGAATCTGTTGTTCACCATTCAATGGTGTTACTGAGATAGACACTACAGATATATTGCTTAAAAAAGTAGCTTGCAAAATCGATACACTCATTTCGTTCAATGCCTGTGCTTGTTGAACGAGTATTTGACTAACTAGATTTTGATTTCCACTAGCGAGAACTAAAACTATTGGATTAATATTGAGTAGAATATTATTTGCTAGATTCATCGAATTTGTAAGAACATTATTGATCAAATTATTCATTGTTGCCATATCAAAGATAACAGAAACGGTAGATAGATCAATTTCAGTGATACATTCATACATATCGGTTATACGTGCAACAATATGATTCATTACTGAGTTGGTTCCATTGGCTGGTAATCGCACTTGAAGAGAGGGAATAATTGAATATCCAAGAATAGCAAGTGTCGATGGATCCGTTGTCCATGCTAAGACAAATAATGAAATAATGAATGTATTGTTACAAATGGCAAGACTTACTGTAAAATGAATAGCCTATAATATCATTAGTATCACTCCAATTTGAACAAATTATTGTAGACACTGTAGATGTCATTCCATTGAGAGGATTGATTGAGCATGTACCATTTTCTGGTGGTGAATCGATCATAAAATCAATTGCTCCAATGCTATGAATCGAATTCATTGAATAGATCACTTCAAAACGCCAATATTTTACATTTGGATAATTTATGAAAAGACCTTTCGTTGCTGTAAAATTTTCCGAGTTGATTTCTAAATAATATATCTCAAGTTGTCGAATTTGCTGTAGACTTCACTTACCGAAGAACCAATTTTCGACATCAGTTCTAATATTGGGAATAAGTATCCATTGTATTGTTGTATTCATTGATCCTTGATAGAGATTCCACATGATCGTGCCATTGAATGATTGATTTACTCTATGATTTATCCAGAGTGAAGTTAATTCTACCTGTGTATTTGGATTGAGTAGATGATATTCATTAACCAATGGGCATATTTCCGAAATGATACAACTATTCAATTTCAAGAAAATATATCTTCAATCAATAAGAGAATTTCATCATACTTGATTGAGATGATAATTGAATCAGTTTCTTCTTCGACTGTGACAAGTAAATATCCTGAAAAGATTCGTGATGTATTGAATTTGTCGATCAAATCTGTTCGAAATTGATAGATTTGATTCACTTGAAACAATCCTGGTTCAATAATCAATGAAGATTGTGTTTCATTTGAACCATAGTGCCATTCTGATCGATTGCCGAAACAGAATGAATCGTTAATGAGTACAAAATTTGATTGATGATCGATTCGGCAATAGTAAATATAATTCCAATTACTTACATTGATATGGAAGCTAATTGCATCTGGATCGATTGAAAATGAGCCTGGATCAAGTATCACAGTTTGATTTCGACCAATAGTAATCATCGATGGACCAAATTGGATGAGATCGACCATGATGGATGATGGAATAATATTGATGTATGTAACCATCGATGCGGTTAATTGAGAGAAGATTTGCATGGCTACTGTTAATTTTATCTCATAAATCCGATAATACAATAACCTTGGTGGAAGAAAAAGTTCACTGAGTGTCATTATTGTCACAGACGGATCTATATCGATTTGAAAAGAGCAAAGCGGTCGGCATGCATGAATGCTCCATTGAATACTTGTTAACAGGGATTTGGGACAGTGAAGCTGAAGAACTGAAATAATAGATAATGATTGACAACGTAGATTGTACCAGGGCAAAGTATATGATGGATTACTAGGTGTCAGAGTAATAATAGGCGGTGAGCAACCTAAGAAGAAAATTAGAACCATGAGCTATTTAAAACAGCCCTACCTTCGACAATGAGTGGAACCATAGAAGTCATTGTTGATAGCATTGCTGTAGATATCTCATTCGTTGATTCTTCCTGTGAAATCACGGTAGTGTCAACGCTACTTTTCATTTCATATGTGGAGAATAGTAGTGATGTAGGAATTGAACTCATGCTAGTCGATGAAGTCGACGTGATTATGGATAGAAATGTTGTAGGTGTCACTGTATTAGTTATGGGTGTGGGTGAAGATTTGGATGCTCAAAGAGAAGTACGAACACACACCCTCCATACACACATAGATTTTCATCTTCAGTCTATTGTGAAATCATATTGAAATTAGTCAAATCTTTTCCTTGCTGGTATCACTACTGATCTAAATGGTCAAATCGACCTGGCATCAATCGTTGTTCACTTCACTGATTCTATAACAGTCAAATTGACTCCTAATTAGACATCCTTCTTTTTTATAAATCCATCCATGGTAAATTCTAATGTTAAATTACATTTTGACTTTGTTTTGATGGCATCCCTAGTGAATGTACTGAGCTAAGGGTACCCATGTACTGAGAAAGTCTCAGCAAGGTACCCGATATGGGTATCTCGAAAAATCTCAGTAATTATACTGATGTAGGTACTGCATTGGGTACCCATAGCACTATTTTTACTGAACAAGTACTTGTATGGGTACCCGCATCTGTAATTTTACTGAAGAAAGCTCTACAGGGTATCCTAGATTTGTCGCGTTCTGTGTAGCAACTGTTCATTCACCGTTTTCTTTTGCGCATACGGCTTCGTATAAACAACTCGATAAAACATAAGTAATTAATATTTTTTCATACTAATTTTTTCTAGATTATTTCTTGACTATTTACTAGTCGAGAATATGCCGATCACGATTGACCTGCTTGAGTTTTCAAAATTAGAAAAATTAAATTAAATAAAATTGAAAAAAAAATAATAAATTGCTTTGAGAGAAACAAAAATGAAAAAAATCAAAGGTTAGGTTCGATCATCAACATACTTCAGTTTTGGTCATAGGATACCTAAAAATACTGTACAATAGTACCTAGTTGAGTACTCGATCAGTACCTTCAAGTACCCATTTACTAGACGCTTTCCAGCAGAGTACTCACCCCAGTACCTTATATGTACCTAAAAGTACTTTAAGGTACTTCAGCACCCGAAAGTTCCTGTGACATACTGGTAGCAGGGTACTTTTTCAGGTACCCTTAGCTCAGTACACTCACTAGCGATAAGTTCGTATTGAAGAGAGTTAATAATATGTCCTAAATATCCTATGATGAATTTCATTTAATAGAATAATCTGACGTAGATTTTTGTCACAGAAATAGACTAAAATATCGATCGAAAGTGTTCGATGTGCGAAGAAAAACAAAAACACTGTGATGATCAATTTTGAAAATAAATATAGAAAAATCGAGAGCAACTAGCAATCGTTACCGAGTAGAACTCGATATCAAGCGAAGTAAAACTATCCGTATATTCTTTGTTTATTTTTCTCGTTTGAATAATAAAATCTATAGTTGGTCACATTCAGGTGTTAATCATGTTCTTATATTTGAATTTGATTCATGGAATCACTTAATTTATGAAAAGCTTCTTGAAATTGGCACATGTTTAATATCATAATGGTTTCTAGACTTTTATTAGATTTATTCTTTGATGTTATAACGCAATTCAACCATTAATACAATGATTAGTTATTGACATATTTTGAATTCTATTATTGATAAATCTAACTCGAGCGTTTTATGATAAAGCTCGATTTTGTTTATTAAAAAAAATCAAGTGAAATGTTTTAATCCTCATTTGATCATGTTGATTTTGCTTGGTTTTGATTGGGCGATCAATTTATATGATTAGTATTTGGAATATTTTATTTGTTTTGATATATGATTGAAATTTGAGTTAATCAATTATAAAACGAGGTGCATTATGTAATGATTGCTCAGGATTTTTTGTTCAAACAATTTTAATAATTTTTCCATCTTGGTTTCGTTTTAGTTAATGTCTTCGACGATATTATGATCCAAAAGATAAATTTGCTCATCTTGGAAATGCTGGTAAATATGCAATTGGTCTTTTTGTTTCAATAACAAATTGAATTGGACGAGCAACTCATCTTAACTATGCAAACAACAAGTAACGCGACGCGAACGTCGCTAAGCCCTCTACTGAAAGGAATTTACTAATATGTCCAGTGGCGAAATTTTCGCTTTCATCGACCTATGTTTATTTTAAGTTATCTCTAATTTGATAATGCTAAACCTTTAGGCAATATGTCAAGGTATATATTTACATATCTTGCATAACGATCCAGAAAGCATACTATTGACTGAATGTAGAGGTATCGCTAGAGCAAGAGGTGCGGAGATAACCTCC